TCTTTTGGGACACTCCACATATGGTAACCCTATGTTAGCCCCAGGGCTGGCTCCAGGCACCAGCCCACCAAGCATGTGCTTGGGGCGGCGCCTGGAGGGGGGTGGCGCGGCGGGGCCCCGGCCGGGCTCGCTGCCCTCCCCCCGGCGCTCTGGCTTTTTTGCCTGCCGCGCTGTAGGGGGGGCAGCGGGTGGCTTTTTTGCCTAGGGCGGCAAAAAAGCCAGAGCCGGCCCTGGTTAGCCGAAGCAGGGTGACATTTCGTCCATCCCCCTCCATCAGGTGACAGTTGGCCCCTCCCCTGTCGCGGTCTCAGTGGCCGTTGACGCCTTGCGCCACCGCCCCGCCCGTTTCCCGCCTCTTTTCCTCACACCCTTGTGCAGCCCCAGATGACTCTGCCCGGCAACTAGTGACGCTGAGACACAGCAGCGCCTCCCATTGGCTGCCTTGCTGGAGGGGGCGTGACCAATGGAGCCGCCCTGGGCGGGGAACAGGGAGGCTGCAGGACACTGGCCACGTGTTCGAGCCCCGGGCCAGGCCTGGTCTGCGCGAGAGTGAATCCGGCCCGAGCTCTGCCCGGGCAGTCAGGGCTCCCCATGGCCCCAGGGCGGCGCTAGGGGCTGTGCTGCAGGGAGCGGGGTGGGGCAGCAGTGGGCTCCTGTCACGGACTCACAGATCGTGCCCACTCTTGGCCCCGTGCGGTCCGTGGGGGGTGCCCCTTTTAGTGAGACAGTCCTTCTCGGGGGTCCACTCTCTCTCGGGGTCTGGCCCCTCCACCTCCTGGAGCCGCACCTCTCTGAGCCTTAGCACGTCTGTCTCTGCCGTGGGCCCCCTCAGGGAGTCCCCTCGCTCTGGGTCCCCGGGAACTCCACCCCCGAAGGGGTAGATGCCCCCCCCCCCGCCCTGTTCTCTAGACCGGAGCGACTCTCAGCCAGCGTAAAACAGGAGGTTTATTGAGAGTTGAACCCAGCACAGGAACCTCTCTGACCCTCAGGCCCGGCCTCCCTCAGCCCAGCACATCCCAGTCTCTCTGCATCCAGGTGGGCTCTGCCTGCTTCCCCTCTCCAGCCCCGAGCCCCCCTGCTCCCAGCTGGGCATCCGATACCTCCGGCCCCAGGCCCCGCCTCTGTCCATTGTCTTCCCTCCAGGGAAACAGGGTCGTAAACTGGGGCCTCCTCTCCCCTCTTCTGTCCTCTGGCTGGAACCGGCTGGTTAGGTCACTGGGTCCTCACTCTGCAGCCCATTGTCCTCCCACTGGCCAGAACCGGCTGCGTCTCCTCAGCTGGGCCTCTGGGTCACCAGGTCGCCAGGTCACCGGTCGCTGGGGTATCCATCCTCCCGGCCACCGGATGGGTCCCCGCGTCCTCTCTCCGGTCCTCTGCAAAACACACTCCCTCTCCCCTCACCTCGTTAAACCAGTAACACCCAGGGAAACTGAGTCCCACCCCCTCTGCATGCAAACCATTGAAACCCCACAGAAAACAGGAAAACCCCCCACTTCATCACAGCTCCTCATGGCCCCAGGGCGGCGCTAGGGGCTGTGCTGCAGGGGGCGGGCTGGGGGCAGCAGGGGGCTCTGCCCGGGCAGTCAGGGCTCCCCATGGCCCCAGGGCGGCGCTAGGGGCTGGGCTGCAGGGAGCGGGGCGGGGGCAGCAGGGGGCTCCCCATGGCCCCAGGGTGGTGCTAGGGGCTGTGCTGCAGGGGGTGGGGTGGGGGGCAGCAGGGGGCTCTCCCCTGGCATTTAGGGCTCCCCATGGCCCCAGGGCGGGGCTAGGGGCTGTGCTGCAGGGGGTGGGGCGGGGCGGGGCGGGGGCACTGGGGCTCTCCTCTGGCATTTAGGGATGCCCAATTGCCCTGGTGTTCCAGCATGGTTGCCCCCACAGGGTTCCCGCGACTGGCAGCTGGGGCACAGAGCTGAGCAAACAGACAGAGAGAGACGTTGGCGGAGAGGCATGTGGGCTGTGGAGGAACTGAATGTTGCGGCGTGTCACATAGTCACGGGGCCACAGTAACACGTTAGCTGCCCCCCATCCGCTCCCCAGTGCCTCCTGCCTGCCGGCTGCCCCCACCAATCAGCGCCTCCTTCTACCGCAATCAGGTGTTTCACGTGCGCAGGAGGCTATGGGGGGGATGCGGGAGACAGGGGAGGAGAGAGGGCGTGGCAGGCTCAGGGGAAGGGGTGGAGTGGGGGCAGGGCTTGGGGCAGAGCAGGGGGTTGAGCAGGGAGCACCCCCCAGCACATGGGAACTTGACATCTATGGCTCCAGCCCTGGAATCAGTGCCTAGGTAAGGAGCCGCGTATTAACCTCTGAAGAGCCACATGCAGCTCCGGAGCCACAGGTTGGCCACCCCTGCCCTGGAACTGCTCCCTGTGAAGCCGGCCAGGACTCTGGTGAAGTCTCCTCTCCCTCGGAGCAGACTGTCTCCAGGGCAAGAAGCTCACACGGCTTCACCTCCTGGGTCTGACCTCGGAGCATTCAGCATCTGCCCCTCCGTGCGCTTCCCACAGCGAATCCGCCCCGGCGGGGTCCTGTGGCAGCCAAAGGGTCCTGCACCCCCACTTCGCAGTCAGACGTGACTCTCAGCCAGCCGGGAAAACAGCAGGTTTATTAGGCGACAGGAACGCGGCGTAGGGCAGAGCTCGTTAGCACAGAAATCAGTGACTTTCAGCCAAGTCCACCTTGAGGGGAGGGGAACCCAGAGCCAGGGCTCTGCCCTTCCCCTGCTGCGCCCCCAGCCAGCCCAGACAGACTCGCTTCCAGCTGCCTGGCCCCTGCCCGGCCCCTTGCTCCTCCTCTGGCCTTTGTCTCGCTTCGGGCCAAGAGTCACCTGGTCGCATCCCCCTCCTGGGTCTCAGGATACAAAGGGGCACCAATAGCATCCCTGCAGGCAGCTGGAGCAGCCCCCGCAAGTCACCCCCCCAGACATTGGTGCAATACACAGGGAAACTGAGGCACACGCAGCTCTCATGCAAAACAGTAAGACTCACAGAGACTCACATACAACACAACAAGGACAGGAGTACTTGTGGCACCTTAGAGACTAACAAATTTACTAGAGCATAAGCTTTCGTGGGCTACAACCCACTTCTTCGGATGCATATAGAGTGAAACATATATTGAGGAGATATATATACACACATACAGAGAGCATGAAGAGGTGGGAGTTGTCTTACCAACTCTGAGAGGCCAATTAAGTAAGAGAAAAAAAACTTTTGAAGTGATAATCAAGATAGCCAAGTACAGACAGTTTGATAAGAAGCAAGCGTGAGAATACTTACAAGGGGAGATAGATTCAATGTTTGTAATGAGCCATTACGAACATTGAATCTATCTCCCCTTGTAAGTATTCTCACACTTGCTTCTTATCAAACTGTCTGTACTTGGCTATCTTGATTATCACTTCAAAAGTTTTTTTTCTCTTACTTAATTGGCCTCTCAGAGTTGGTAAGACAACTCCCACCTGTTCATGCTCTCTGTATGTGTGTATATATATCTCCTCAATATATGTTTCACTCTATATGCATCCGAAGAAGTGGGTTGTAGCCCATGAAAGCTTATGCTCTAATAAATTTGTTAGTCTCTAAGGTGCCACAAGTACTCCTGTTCTTTTTGCGGATACAGACTAACACGGCTGCTACTCTGAAACACAACAAGGGACAATCCCCACTTTGACCACAGAGGAACTGAAAGCTGTGGAGGAACTGAAAGCACATGGGGATCCTGGGCCCCTCGTCTTGCAGCAGCCCTGACCTCTGCCAGAACCTGGATCCCCCTTCCCCTGCCGGGATGCTGCTCCCTCTGCTGCTCCTCCCTTGGGTATGGGGGGCCCTGGCCGATAAGTGGGGACCCCCCCTCTGTTTTTGCTACTGGGGATGGTGTAATATTAGGGCCAGGGTGGGGAAGTACCAGGCTGGGGGAGTAGGTCGGGGGAGGCAGGTTAGGGATCAGCAGGGAGACCCCGTAGTGCAGGATTGTTCATGGGACAGAGACTCATTAATCTCTCTCCCCACCCGCTTTGTCCTCCACTTGTTTCCTGCCCCCTGCCCCAGCCTCCCCTCCTCTCCCACCAGTGTCTGTCACCCTCCGGCTGCTCCAAATCGACGTCTTCCACAACACCAGCTCCATGGACATGCAGGGGATGGCCCTGCTGGGCGACCTGGAGACCCACTCCCTGGACTGCAGCACCTGCGAGATCCGCTTCCTGCAGCCCTGGGCCCAGCAGGGCCTGACCCCGAAGCAGTGGCAGGACCTGGAGCTGGTGATCCATCGCTCCCTGTCCGACTTCATCCATAAAATGAACAAAGTAGCTCAGCAGCAGGGAAAGGGCTGTGAGTATGGAGCGGTCTGAGGGGATCCCTCCCCCCAGCCACCCGGGGTGCTGAGAACTGACACACTCACCACAGCCACTGAGTGTGTCATTGCGGGCAAGACAGCCAGTCCCTGGCCCTTTGGCTGATTGGAGCCGGCGTCCCCCAGAGGGGAAACACCCGTGTCCCATTCTCCACCCAGCTCTGGGGCCAAATTGTAGCCTGCACTTCCTAGAGGGGAAAGGCCCCGTGTCCCACTCCCTGAGCCGAGGCTCCTGGTGTTTCCTGACACGTACCCTGACCCTTTGAAAAGCAGGTCATTTGGGGGGGTCTGTATCTCAGCAACCCTGTGACCAAGGGGCCCCAAATTTGCACTACAAACTCTGCCTCAGGCACTGATGTAATGTAGCGATTTTCGAGACAATCTGACTATGCACGTGAAAAAATCAGCTTTAAAGAGTGTGACGAAGTGGGGGTTTTCCCTTATGTTGTATGTGAGTCTATGTGAGTCTTACTGTTTTGCATGAATGCTGTGTGTGCCTCAGTTGCCCCGTGAATTGCACCAATGTCTAGGTCAGGGGTCGGCAACCTACGGCACGCGTGCTAAAGGGGGCACAAGAGGCAATTTTTGATGGCCCGCGGCAGCGGGCTGAGCCGCTCAGCCCGCCGCCACTCTGGGGTTCCTGCTGCTGGCCCCTTGCCAGCCGGGGTCCCACCGCCGGTCCCACTCAGCGCCCGCTGCTGGCCTGGGTGAAGGAACCCCAGGCTGGTAGCAGGCTGAGACCGCGGCTGGCAGGAGCCAGCCGCCGAAACCCCAGAGCAGGGGCGGGCTGAGCCCCTCAGTCCCTGCTCTGGGGTTCCTGCTGCTGGCCCCTTGCCAGCCGGGGTCCCACCGCCGGTCCCATTCAGTGCCCGCTGCTGGCCTGGGTGAAGGAACCCCAGGCTGGCAGCAGGCTGAGACCGCGGCTGGCAGGAGCCAGCAGCCGAAACCCCAGAGCAGGGGCGGGCTGAGCCCCTTGCTAGCCGGGGTCCCCGCTGCAGCCCCACTCCCCTTGCTTCCGGTTGGAGTTCCAGCGCAGGCCCCCTGCCAGACAGGGTCCAGGCCTCCGGCCTGCTCAGCCCTACCAGCCACCAGCTCCACTCACCTCAGCTGCCAACCTGGGGTTCCAGCCGCTGACCTCCTGCCAGCCGGGGTCTGGATCGCCAGCCTTGCTCAGCCTGCTTTCCGGCCTGGAGTCCCAGCAGGCCACCCTGGGCTCTGCTCCTGGCCTTGGATCAGTGTCCGCAGCCTCCCTGCTGTGGCCCACTGTCCCAGCCTGGGACAGTGCGGGTTGCACACGAGGCGGCTCAGCTTATATCCGACCACGCTGCGTTTGCCCTTCTGCCTGGCTGCTAGCGCTTCTGAAACACTTGGGAAACCTTGTTTACTTTACATATAACAGTGGTGTGGTTAGATAATAGAGAGACTTAGGGTATGTCTACACTACAAAATTAGGTCGGATTTATAGAAGCCGGTTTTATAGAAACCGGTTGTATGCAGCCGATTGTGTGTGTCCCCACATAAAATGCTCTAAGTGCATGAAGTCGGCGGACCGCGTCCACAGTACCGAGGCTAGCGTCGACTTCCGGCGCATTGCACTATGGTACCTATCCCACAGTTCCCGGAGTCTCCGGCGCCCATTGGAATTATGGGTTGAGATCGCAATGCCCGGATGATGCAAAGCAGTGCCGCGAGGGGTTCTGGGTACATTGCGTCAGGCCCCTCCCCCGCCGTCACAGCAACGGCAGACAATAGATTCGCGCCTTTTTACCTGGGTTACCTTTGCAGACAACATACCATGCCAAGCATTGAGCCCACTCAGCTCAGCTCACCGTCACCATATGTCTTCCGGGTGCCGGCAAACGTGGGACTGCATTGCTAAACAGCAGCAGCAGCTTACTGCCTTTTGGCGGTAGACAGTGCAGCATGACTGGTAGCCTTCATTGGCGATCTGGGTGCTGGCAGCTGTAGGGCTGCATTGCACCAGCCCCTTGCCTTTTGGTAGAAGATGGTTTATTACGACTGGTATCCATCGTCGTCGTACTGCAGTGGCTGTCGATCATGGGCACCCGGGCAGACAATGATGGCTATCAGTCGTAGTATGCTATTTTCTGCCAGGCGCCCTGTTGGATCATTGCACATTAGCAGAGTCGTAGCATGCTATTTTCTGCCAAGTGCCCAGTATTGTCTGCTAAGCACCCAGAAGAGGCCGCTGGCGATCTGGGTGCTGGCAGACATGGGGCTGACAGATGTGGGGCTAGATTGCTACACAGCAGCAACCCCTTGCCTTTTGGGCAGTAGATAGCATATTACGATTGGTATCCATCATTGTCATATTGCAGTGGGAATCAGATGGTGCAATAGACCTGAAGGCTTACTGCCAAGCGCCCAGAAAATGCCAAGGGCTATCAGTCATGCTGCACCGTCGTCTTAAGATGTAAAAAATAGATTTATTCTGCATTCATTTGCTTCCCCCCTCCCTCCTGCTAAACCCAGGCTTTTGAGTTCAATCTTTGGGGGGGGGCATTCTGTGTGACAATTGTTTGTGTTTCTCCCTGATGCAAAGCCACCTTTCTTGATTTTAATTCCCTGTACCTGTACGCCATGTCGTCACTCGCCCCTCCCTCCCTCCCTCCCTCCCTTCTTCCCCTGGTCCGTCAGATACTACTTTCGCGCCTTTTTTCAGACCAGACGCCATAGCCAGCACTGGGATCATGGAGCCCGCTCAGATCACCGCGGCAATTATGAGCACTATGAACACCACGCGCATTGTCCTGGAGTATATGCAGAGCCTCCTGGACATGCCAAAGCCAAACCAGGACCAGCTGAGGAGGAGGCGATTGCAGCGCGGCGACGATAGTGATGAGGAAATTGACATGGACCTCTCACAAGGCACAGGCCCCAGCAATGTGGAAATCATGGTGTTACTGGGGCAGGTTCATGCCGTGGACCGCCGATTCTGGGCCCGGGAAACAAGCACAGACTGGTGGGACCGCATCGTGTTGCAGGTCTGGGACGATGCCCAGTGGCTGCGAAACTTTCGCATGCGTAAGGGCACTTTCATGGAACTTTGTGATTTGCTTTCCCCTGCCCTGAAGCGCCAGAATACCAGGATGAGAGCAGCCCTCACAGTGGAGAAGCGAGTGGCGATAGCCCTGTGGAAGCTTGCAACGCCAGACAGCTACCGGTCAGTGGGGAATCAATTTGGAGTGGGCAAATCTACTGTGGGGGCTGCTGTGATCCAAGTTGCCAGGGCAATGAGAGACCTGGTGATATCAAGGGTAGTGACTCTGGGAAACGTGCAGACCATAGTGGATGGCTTTGCTGCAATGGGATTCCCAAACTGTGGTGGGGCGATAGACGGAACCCATATCCCTATCTTGGCACCGGCGCACCAAGCCACCGACTACATAAACCGCAAGGGGTACTTTTCAATGCTGCTGCAAGCCCTGGTGAATCACAAGGGACGTTTCACCGACATCAACGTGGGCTGGCCGGGAAGGGTACATGATGCTCGCGTCTTCAGGCAGTCTCTTCTGTTTCGAAAGCTGGAGGAAGGAACTTTCTTCCCGGACCAGAAAATAACCACTGGGGATGTTGAAATGCCTATCGTTATCCTTGGGGACCCAGCCTACCCCTTAATGCCATGGCTCATGAAGCCGTACACAGGCAGCCTGGACAGTAGTCAGGACCTGTTCAACTACAGGCTGAGCAAGTGCCGAATGGTGGTGGAATGTGCATTTGGACGTTTAAAAGCGCGCTGGCGCAGCTTACTGACTCGCTCAGACCTTAGCGAAAAGAATATCCCCATTGTTATTGCTGCTTGCTGTGCGCTCCACAATATCTGTGAAAGTAAGGGGGAGACATTTATGGCGGGGTGGGTGTGACGAACTGAGACTGTTCTTAAAGTAGTCTGTGAATGCTGACAG